CTTCAGACCAGCGAAGGGAATATGTATGAGGAAGATGGGTCCGACCGGGATAGGCGGCCGAGTTGGTGAGGCGAGCGTAGGATTGTCCGACCGTGGGGAGGGTTGATCGCGCGAAGGCCGAGCAGAGGGCCGACCGGTCAAACTAAAGGGCCGACCGTAAAGAGGGGCGATCGGGCGAGAAGGGCGACCGTTGAGGACAGACCGACCCAAGGGGCCGACCGTGAGGACAGGCCGACCGTGGAGAGGGGTGATCGCGCGAAGGGCGAGCGGAGGGCCTACCGGCCGAGCTAAAGGACCGACTGTGAAGAGGGGCGATCGCGCGAGAAGGCCATCCGTTGAGGGCAGGCCGACCCAAGGGGTCGACCGTAGGGACAGGCCGACCGTGGGGAGGGGTGATCGCGCGAAGGCCGAGCGAAGGGCCGACCGGCCGAGCTAAAGGGCCGATCGTGAAGAGGGGCGATCGCGCGAGAAGGCCGTCCGTTGAGGGCAGGCCGACCCAAGGGGTCGACCGTGGGGACAGGCCGACTGTTGAGGACAGGCCGACCGTGGGGAGGGCTGATCACGCGAAGGCCGAGCGGATTGGTGCGGGGCTCAAGGGGCGGCGTGGCAAGTGATGATTTGAAGTAGAAAAGACAGGGTAAGGGAAATGGACAGTGCATCGTGGTCGTACACGTGGCCACATCCCGTAGGGGGGAAGATTAGGCGTTGGACCAGAAACGAAACGTTAGGTCATTGTGGGTGTTGAAGAGACGGTTTTGGCGGATGATTTTGAAAAGTTTTCAAACTAGCGAAAATTAATTGGGACCCTTGGAATACGGGCAAACCGTGGGCTTTTGGCATTATTCGATTCACCTACTTGTGTACGAAAAATCAAAATATTCCAAGTGTGAATTCCTTTGTTGCTCACAATACACCTCTGCAACACTTTTTCAATTTTCTTGTTCCTGCCGCCGAAGCGATTCATAAACATACCACAGAAGTGGCCAAAGAAAAGAGTGCGATTGTCAGGGTGGACCCGCTTGGAGATGATGATGCTGTAGAGCTAGCGACGCAGTATAGGACAGAGAGGGTGGGGGAGCCGGTGGTACGATCCCACGGTTCCACCATGATAGCAGCTCCAAAGCCAATCAGCTAGGCAAAACCAGATCATTGGCACACAAAGGCTGACAAATCCACAATTACTGAGGCGGAGTTGGAGGCTATCCGCAAAAAATACTAGATCCCTGGGGAAGTGGAGTTGTTGCTACCGACATCAACGGAAAGGCCGTCTGACGCCAGGCCAGGGGAGTTTTCCCTTTATAAGGAAGCTCTGAAGGGTGGACTGAGGTTGCCACTGCCGCAAGTGGTGGTGGATGTGCTTAACCATCTGGAGGTAGCACTGGGGCAACTAATGCCTAACGCGTGGAAGATCCTGCTAGCCTGTGCCAGTGCGTGGCCGAAGGCAAATGGAGGGGAGGCCATGACGGTAGACGAATTCTTTGCGTGTTATAAGGCTTCGGGGCAGCAGGAGACGTAGGTCACTCTGCAGGCAGCAGTGGGGAAGGGGTTGGTGGCGGGTCTGCCGTCGTCAATCAAGGGGTGGCGGCCGCGATGGTTCTACGTGTCTACCAATGGGGGGGCTTGGAGCGCGCATCGTTTGGAAAGTACCCATCAGGTCTGTGGAGCTGAAACCGGGGGCAGCTGCGGAGGGGAGGGTGAGGAGGGTGAAGGAGTGGAGGGAGAGAGAAAAGGCTAAATGGGATGAGCTCGTTCAGCCGTCGGCATTGTTTGAGGCGGGGTTGGGGCCAAAGCCAGGTAGTGGGGACCTCGATTGAGCGAAGTTGGAGGCGAGGAGAAGGGTTCAGGAGGCGGAGGATCAGGCCATTCTTGCCAAAGCCCAGCAATTCAAAGAGTCCCGGGCCGACCGACCACCAAAACTGGTTGCGAGGAAGCGGATTCGACCTCGCCCCAAACCCTTGGGAGAGAAAAACTTGGGCGATTTTGTGCCACGGCCGCCCCCAACAGACCTTTTGAAGGAGAGGTCCTTGAAGGAGATGGAGGCATTGGGCGTGGGAAAAAAGAAGAAGAGAGTGAGTCGGACTGAGGAAGTGCCTGCCCAGAAGAGGAGGAGGGAGATGAGTGTGAAAGAAACCAGTGCAGCCGTGGGGTCTGAAGGGGGAGAAGTGGAGGGGGTTCCAGGAAAGGTAGCTGGCCCAGAAGTGGTGGATGTTGCCTCAGAGGTCATGGAGGTGGTGCCAGTGGTGGCGGCGATTGCCGTCGGGGTCACAAAGGCCGCCCCCGAAAGGCAAGTGGATGACGAGGCTGCTAGCCCCGGGCCAAGGAGGGAGGAAGAGCCCTAGGAGGGGCTTGCACCTCAAGAAGGAGGAATTGGTGCGACCACGGCGATCTACCACGCTCGTGCGGTGGCGGGTCGGCTGGAGAGAGAAGAAGGCCCAGCCAGGGCAGGGGCAGACCGTCTTGTAGAGATTGTGGAAGAGGGAGCCCTACGCTCGGCCTTCCGATTTAATGAGGCTGAGCTGCTAAGGGGGTTATACTCCGCTCAAATGGAGGTAACCACCTTAGCGGGGGCCCTGCTGAGGAATGCGGGGGCTGCCAAACTCAAGGCAGATGAGGCCAAGGCTCAGCTTGTAAAGTTAAAGAAGAAGAGTGCAAGTTGGGAGAGTGCCCACACTGAGCTACCAGCGGTTAAGGCGGAGCTGGAGGACACACGCCGCCAGGTTGTGTCACTCGAGTTCCAACTTGCTGGTGAGCAGAAGAAGTTGGATGAGGCCCAAAGAGCCTGCGCCGTCGCGGTCGAGCGACATGAGGAGGCTATGAGTAGTAATGAAGAGCTGGTGAGGCAAAAAGATGAGGCTGATGGCAAAGTGGGCGATCTCCAGAGGGAACTGGAGGGCGAGCGCACCAAGGCGGTGGAGGAGAAAGGGAGGCTTCAGAGGGAGTTAGAAGCAGAGAGAGTGCAGGCGGTGGCGGAGAAGGAGATCCTGAAGAAGGAACTGAAGGCGGAGAAGGCAAAGGCGGCATCGGAACGGGCGGCCCTGCAGAAAGAGCTGGACGAAGAGAGGGCAAAGGCAGCCTCTAAAAGGGTGGCTTATCCCGATCTGTGCGTCACAGCAGTGGAGCAATTCAAAGGGTCTACCGAATTTCAGACGGCGGTTGATGCCGCGGTTGCGAGAAATCTGGCTGGGCAAGAATCTGGGGGGACTGGCCCATCGAGGACGACTGCTGGAGGTAGAACTGAAGCAGAAGTTATTGAGAGCTTCCAGCAGTCAGAATTTTATAAGCACGAAATGGCTGAGTACTGGAAGATGTTCAAACGTAGAGCTGAAGAGCTGTTCCCAGACTTAGACCTTAGTAGTGTAACGATTGGCGAAGACGATGTGGCCCAAACCCCCCTTGATGAGGGCATTGAAGAAGAAGACCTCCTCTCCAATGAGGAGGAATAACTGGGGAGAAAGGAGAGAAAGATACATTGTTTTTTTTTTTTTGTTGAATTGCTGTAATGAACTTTGCTGTAATGAACGTTTGTATAAAGTTGTGAGCGAATAAAATTTCAGTTGTGTTGTTATTCGATTATTTCTGCTTATGGAACTCCTTGTTAATAAGAGTGAAATTGAAGCTTGTAATAAGGACTCAATGCAGAGTGAAGTTAAGAATTCCACAATGCAGAGTGAAATGTAATTTGAAATGAAATAAAATGATAGGCCTGAGAAAGTTAAATGTAATAAAATGACAGTGAAATTTAAGAATTCCACAATGCAGAGTGAAATTTGAAATGTAATAAAATGATAGGCCTGAGAAAGTTGAACGTAATAAAGTGATAAGAACGTCTGTGGAATTTGACTAAGCAAAGAGTGGTGTGACTACTTGGACCTGGAATTGTGACTAAGTGTGTTAGTTAATTCCACAAGTATGAAGTTTTGTATGGGTGGTTTTGACCGAGCCCTACATGTTAGGTCTGGACGAGTGCTTCACGCTCAGTTTGGAAGAAGCTTTTAGCGCTCAGTCCGGCAGAGGGTGTTGACGGTCGGACTGCCGAAGGCGGCTCTCATGCTCAGTCTGGCTGAGGCTTTAAGTGCTCTGTCTAGCAGAGGCTTTAAGTGCTCAGTCTGGCTGAGGCTTTTAGTGCTCAGTCTGGCTGAGGCTTTAAGTACTCTGTCTAGCTGAGGCTTTTAGTGCTCAATCTGGCTGAGGCTTTAAATGCTCTGTCTGGCAGAGGCTTTAAGTGCTCTGTCTGGCAGAGGCTTTTAGTGCTCAGTCTGGCTGAGGCTTTAAGTGCCCTGTCTGGCAGAGGCTTTTAGTGCTCAGTCTGGCTGAGGCTTTAAGTGCTCTGTCTGGTAGAGGCTTTTTGTGCTGCAAATAAGAATGTTACTGAGATAACATATAGATAACTGAGACATATAAGTAAGAAGTTACATTGCGGGAGGGAATATCAAGAATGTGTGAATTTCCCGAAAAGAAAATACAATAACTGAGCAATACAAAAATAGGAGCTTATTGAAAGTAACGTTTAAGGTGTTCGGCGTTCCATGGGTGGGAGAGGTCTCGACCTTCCATGTCCTGAAGTCGGTAAGTGCCTGGTCGGGGTCGGGCTTTCACAATGTAAGGTCCCTCCCACTTGGCTGCCAATTTACCCTCAGTCAGATTTTTGGTAGCAAGAGTTGCTTCTCTCAAGACAAGATCCCCTGTAGCGAACTCCCTCGGTCGGACCTTGCGGTTGTAGTGTGTTCTCATTTTCTGTTGGTATGAGGCCAGTCGGACGGCGGTGGTCTCTCTGAGTTCTTCAATTAGGTCGAGGTCAGCCCGACGGAGTTCTTCGGTTAGTGCCGGATCCGGATGTGAAACCCTGGGAGTAGGCAAACCGACTTCTACTGGGATAACCGCCTCAGCGCCGTATGTTAAGCGGAAAGGGGTTTCCCCAGTGGGAGTCCGAGCTGTGGTTCGATAATCCCAGAGTACATTCGGTAGTTCCTCCGCCCAAAGTCCTTTAGCAGCTTCTAGCTTAGTTTTGATGATATTTAGGAGAGAGCGGTTGGTGACCTCAACTTGGCCATTGGCCTGGGGATGTCCAGGGGATAAGAAACAAGGTTAGATCTGGAGGTCGGCACAGAACTTCCTGTACTTGGCATTGTCAAACTGTTTACTGTTGTCGGAGATGATGGCCTGAGGAATGCCAAACTTGCAAACGATTGACTGCCAGATGAACTTGGTTGTGTTCCGCTCGGTGATGGTGGCAAGGGGTTCTGTCTCTACCCACATGGTGAAGTAATCAATGGCGACGATCGCGAACTTGGTCTGGCCTCGGCCAGTAGGGAGTGGACCGACCAAGTCGATCCACCATTTGGCGAACGGATAAGGGCTGCAAAGTGTGATCAACTCTGTAGGGGGTGCGTGGGGGATGTCGGCAAAACGTTGACACTTATCACTTTTGAGTACGAAATCGGTCGCATCGCGATTAAGAGTCGGCCAAAAATAACCAGTACGGAGTATCTTGTGGGCCAGGGACTTGCCGCCCGAGTGATTGCCGCAGATCCCCTCACGAATTTCTTGCATCACATAAGTTGCTTGGGTCAGATTGAGGCACCGCAGATAGGGTCGTGAGAAACCACGTTTGTACAAGATGCCGTCGACAAGGATGTAATTGGACGATCGTGCCCTGACTTTAGCAGCTTGCTGGTGGTCATCTGGAAGTTTCCTCTCTGTCAAAAATCGAAAGATATCCGACGCCCAAGGGATGGGCTCATTTTGGAGGAATTGTACTTCATGCGGGTCGGGGGAAATGGAGGGGTGGGATAGGTATTCGAGGCGGACGCCACTGCTGAGGGTGGACTGGTCTGCGGAGGCCAACTGGGCCATCTCATCTGCCTTAGAGTTCTCCACCCGAGGAATGTGTTTGATGTGGAAGGTATTGAAGAAGCGAACAAGAGGGAGTGCAAGATCCCTGTAAGTCCACATTGTGCCCTCCTTGGCGTCGAATTCGCCCGTGATCTGTCCGACAATGAGCTAAGAGTCGCTGAGCACTTGGATGTGGCTGACACCGATGTCCCTGGCTAGGTGAAGGCCGGCTATCAGTGCCTCATACTCGGCCTCATTGTTACTGGCCTCAAACAAGAAGCGGAGCGCACATTTGAAATAACCATCCTCAGGGCTAGTGAGAATAAGGCCAGCCCCACTACCTTGCCGGGGGGATGATCCGTCGACATTGAGAGTCCAAGAGTGAGGGTCTTCTGGTTCAATGGGAGCTGGTAAGGGTGGAGAGGCAGTGGTTGGGGTAGAATTAGTAAATTCCAAGATGAAGTCGGCGATAGCCTGTCCCTTAATTGCTGTTCGAGGTCGGTAAGAGATGTCAAACTGGCTGAGTTCCACTGACCACTGCATAAGCCTGCCGGAAAGCTCTGGTTGCTGCGTGACCTTCTTCAAGGGTTGGTCGGTAAGGACCACTATGGAATGGGCCTGGAAGTAAGGACGGAGTCGTCTAGAGGCGGTGACCAAGGCCAAGGATAATTTTTCTAACAAGGGGTAATTCTGCTTTGCTCCCCTGAGAGCCCGACTGATGTAGTAGACCGGTCGTTGGATAGAGTCGTCTTCCCTGATAAGAGCTGCACTGACTGCGGTGCTTGAGACGGCTAAATAGAGGAAGAGGGACTCGCCCGTGATTGCTTGTGAAATGAGGGGTGGATTGGCCATGCACTGCTTTAACTGCTGAAAAGCCACTTCAGATTCAGTCGTCCATTCAAAAGTTTGCCGAAGAACTTTGAAGAACGGTAGGCACTTATCTATTGCACGAGAAATGAAACGGTTGAGGGCTGCAACTCGGCCAGTGAGTCTTTGAACCTCCTTGACCGTCCTGGGAGACTGCATCTCAATCAAGGCCTTGATCTTTTCAGGGTTAGCTTCAATGCCCCGTTGACTGACCATAAAACCCAGAAACTTCCCAGATCCTACGCCGAAGGAGCATTTCTCTGGGTTGAGCTTCATTTGGTACTTGCGTAGCGTGGCGAAGGTCTCCCGCAGGTCCTTCAGGTGATCAGTGGAGAGTTTGCTCTTGACTAGTATGTCGTCAACGTATACTTCCATATTCCGACCTATTTAGTGATGGAAAACGGCGTTGACCAACCATTGGTAGGTGGCCCCAGCGTTCTTCAATCCGAATGGCATTACTTGGTAATGGTAGGTACCTCGGTCGGTGATGAAGGATGTATGTTCCCGATCGGACAGGTACATCAGGATTTGGTTGTAGCCAGAGAAAGCATCCATGAAGCTGAGCATTTGATGACCGGCCGTGGCATCGATCAGCAGATCTATGCGGGGTAGAGGGTAGCTGTCTTTGGGGCAAGCTCGGTTTAGGTTAGAGTAATTGACACAGAGTCGCCATTTGCCATTGTTTTTGCGGACGGGGACCACGTTTGACAACCATTTAGGGTAGTCGACATTTTTGATGAATTTGGCCTCAAGGAGTTTGTCGACCTCTGTGGCGAATAAGAGTATTGCGCTCTGGATGAAAGACGCGTTGCTTCTAGCGGTAAGGTCGGAAATGAGGTTCAATGCTGAGGCGATGAGTTATGAAAGAAGGGTCGATGCCTGGCATATCTGAATGAGTCCAGGCGAATACATCATTGTGCTTTGTCAGAAGGGCAGTAAGGTCGGCTTTAGCTTGGGGGGATAGCTGGCTGCCGATCTTAGTAATTTTCATTGGGTTGGTGGGATCAATGGGAATCTCAACGAGCTCCTCCACTGGTTCGCCTCTGACCAGCTCGTCCTCATCTCGGGCGTCAAGTCCTTCGATGATCATGGCCTCCTTTAGCTTGACTTCCTTGAGTGAGGCGACATAACATTCCCTGGCGATGGTTTGCTCTCCCCGTACTGTCCCGACCCCCTGGTCGGTGGGAAACTTTATGGCGAGGTGGTAGGTTGAAGTGATAGCTTAGAAAGCGTTGAGGGCGGTGCGGCCGAGTATGATGTTGTAGGCAGAGGGACAGTCAACCACAAGGAAGGTGAGTAACTTGGTAGTCTACCGTGGGTATTCGCCAATAGTGATGGGGAGGTCGATGGAGCCGATAGAGGTCACCCGGTTGCCAGTGAAACCGACCAAGGGGGTTTGGAGGCGGGACAGGCTTTCCTCTCCAATTTTGAGTTGGCGGAAGCAATTGAGGAATATGATGTCTGACGAACTGCCATTGTCGATGAGAACCCGTCTGACCTTATAGTTGGAAAGAAGGGCAGAAATGATGAGGGGGTCATCGTGAGGATAACGGATGCCTGTACAATCGGCGTCCGTGAAGGTGATGGGCTCTGTCCACTGCTTGGGCTGCTTGGAAGGTTGGTCTACCGTGTCCACTTCTCTGTCTGAGCCGTGTCTTATTTTCCTGAGCTCTGCCTTCTGAGCGGAGCGGGATGGTCCGCCACAAGCAAGGCCACCAGAGATGACTCGAATTTCACTAACTGGCGGAGAGGGATTACCTGGGGGCCGAGGCTGTTGTGGGAGGCAGTCACGGCCTTAGTCAGGTTGGACTGGCTGCCGAGGTGGGGTACGTCGGCGGTTGTTCCTGAGGGGCTCGGTTCTTTGTCTCTGTTGTAGGCGGGTGTCCGTGAACCGGCTAAGACGCCCTTGACGAATGAGGGTATCGACTTGGTCCTTGAGGTTGATACAGTCATCAGTGTTGTGGTCGTGGTCCTGGTAGAAGTGACAATATTTGGACTGGTCTTTCCGGTTGGAAGGAGTCCGTGAAGGCAGGGGCCATTTGAGAGGGTAATCCCGTTGGATTTGGTGGAGAACTTGTTCCATGGGAGAATTGAGGGGCGTGTACCGCTCGAACCGACCGGGCGGTCGAGTTGGTGCCGACCAGTCAGTGCGAGGAGGTCGGTCGGGATACTGGGGCGTTTGGCTGTTATACTGGGTGTTTCTGGGTTCCGAGTCTTTTCTCTTTTCTCTGGGGGGTGGGTTTTTGGATATTGGATCTTGGCGAGCGGCTAGTGAATCCTCAGCATTCATATATTTCTGGGCTTTGGATAATAGGGCTGCCATGGAGGTCGGTGGGTTTTTGGAAAGGGAGAAGAGGAAATCGGACAATCGCAGCCCGGCCATGAAAGCCGTAAGGATGACCTTATCGTTATTCTCCGCTACTTGTAGGGCTTCGGTGTTGAAGCGGGTAACGAAGCTGCGTAGTGACTCCCCCTCGGTCTGACGGATGTTGAGGAGTTGGGTTGCAGGACGGCGTTGGCGTTGGGCTCCAATGAAATGGCTAAGGAAGGAGTCGCTGAGATGCTGGAAAGCGGAGACAGAGTCCGCTGGTAACTGACTGAACCACAGTCGGGCTGACCCCTTCAGTGTCACGGGGAAAGCTCGACACATGATCTCGTCGGGGAAGGCATGGAGGATCATGAGTGTACGATAGGTCTCCAGATGGTCGACTGGGTCTGTCGTACCATCAAAGGAGTCAATGGTGAGCATCTTGAATTTGGCGAGCAAAGGTTTGTCCCGAATAGAGGCAACAAATGGTGAATTTACCGTGGTAGAGGGTTTATGCTGAATGTTCTGCATGACCCGTTGGAGTTGGAGCTTCATTGCTCGAAGCTCGGCGTCCTAGAGTGGAACGTGGTCCCCATGGTCAGTCAGTAGAGGTTGGACGCTGCTGGCCTCCCCTTCAGGGGCTGGTGCTACGACCGACGGGTGTGGGGGTGGTGGTGGAAAATTTATGTGTGGGTGGGAAGGTTGCAAACCTTCCAGGTTGGGTGGATGAAGTTGGGGAGCAGTATGGCTCAGGGTTCTTTCTTGGTTGTGGGGAATATCTGGAGGTGGTGGAGGAGGAATCGGAAGGTTCCTTTGGAGTAAAGCATTTATCAAGGCCTGGTTTTGTTCGGCCATGCGGTTGATGCTGTTGGTAAGCTCGATAAAGTACTATGGTGGGTTGTTTGGATTGGGGGGTCGTCTTGATGGTCGGCAACATTATTGTGAGAAGCCATGGATCTAGTCGTGACCATGCACTTTGACGGGTAGGAGAGAGAGGTTGTTGGAACGGGGCCTCCGGCGACAGTGAACACAACTGGCGCGAGGAGCAAAGCGTTCCCATAGACGGCGCCAACTGTTAATGCTGTTCGTCCCAGTGAATGGATCAGACAAGTCCAAGCTCCTCCAGCCCGTGTCCAAATGATCAAGCCCACCAGATAACCTGCAGGCAAGTTCAACGGGAAACGGGGTAGTCCCCCAGTGAACTCTCCGACGAGCAAGTTAGGAAGAGAAGTAGAGTATATCGGAGAAGATTAGAGATAGAAAACTTAACCTTTTTCTTGTCTACAACATTTGCTTATATCCTTTGGCCATCATTTCGCTGTCCCTTCCGACTTGCTCTCCTTGCCGAAAGCCTATGCTGTAGCTTACCTTGCTCAGGGTAAGGGGGTCCTGTTCCGACGGAGATCTGTGATGGGCTGCATTAATGGTGATGTGCAGTGGCAATAACTTTGTAGATCTTTGTCTGCTGATGTGGCTCGTCCTTCACCCGCCGCGTGCCTGAATGCTGTTGGTTCTTGGTGCCATATTGGATTCCAGCTGTTCCGGACTCCATCGGCAGGGTTATGCATTGGGCCCCGAATGATGGGCTCGGGTTACTTATAGTGGTTCATGGCCTTTGTGGGCCTGTCCATGTCATAGCCTATGAGATTCGTTTTGGATTTTATTTTGATAATTTAAACGTAAAAAATTAAGTTAATCAGATATCGACATTTCTTTCATTAAATCATATTTGTATTTAGTTTGATACATATATATTTATCTTTTTATATATACAAATGTATTTTGATGAATCAGTTATTGATCTCTGATTAACTTGATTGTTTATAGGTATATTCTTCTGGATATTTTTAAAAATTTGGACGGTTCAAATCATTAAAATAAGACTCAAAACGAGTCTCATAGACTGCACAATAGTCATTGCTGCACTTGATGCACAATAGTCATGTCAATTATTATTCAAGACCAAAAATTAGATCCACTTCTCTAAGTATCAACCAATTATATTACTTACATATCATTAAATCTAAAAAATAAATTTAGAAAATAAAATTGTATATCATTTTTCATTTTGTTATAATTAACACACAATTTTGAATACGTGTCACAATACAGAAATTTAAAACCATTGCTACATGGTTTGCTACAATTTTGAATACGTGTCACAATAAAATCTCACTCGTCAGATTGAGACTCACCATTACCTGACCCGCCTCAACCAAGATTTCATTCAGTGTGGCGTTTATGATACCGACGACTCCCACAGTCGTCTCATCGGTAGACCTCTCTCTCTCTCTCTCTCTCTCTCTCTCTCTCTCTCTCTCTCTCTATGTGTGTGTTTGTTTTGTCGGTGTATGTGTGGATTAATTAATAATATTTGTTGGGAAGTTTTTTCTTTTTGAATTAATTGATGTTTGGATATAATATTCGTTGGGAAATATTCTCTCTCTCTCTCCTATATTTTCTTTTTGGTTATGACTTATTTTACTCGTGAGATTTTTTTATTTTTTTGAAATGTCTTATATGTTGTTCGATAATGAATTTTTTTTTTCTTAGTTAGAACTTAAGATATTTTTTTTCGTTATAAAGTACATATGGTGAGGAGTATAATAACGGCCCGGTCTCCTTGGACCCGGGCTGGGGCTAGCCCATGCAGGCCTTGTAGGCTCTGCTTTTTGGCAGGCCGAGCCAAGCCAGCCTATGGACCAAAAAGTGGGGCTCAAGCCTAAGCTCGGCCTACTCAAAATACGGCCGGCGAGGCAGGGCTTAGGACCGGGCAGCAGACGGGGCCTGGGCAGGCCTTTTTTTTTAAAAAAAAAAATAAACGATAAATATATTATCTATGCAGTGCTAGGGAGCTCGAATCCGGAGCCCTCCAAATCCCCCAAATCAAGAGAAGAAGAAGAAGAAGGAGGAAGAAGAAGAAGAAGAAGAAGAAGGACTAGAGAGGGCCATATCAACCGGGCAGGGGCGGAGGCGGAGGCAAAGGCAGAGGCGGAGGCTACGCGGAGGCGATCGGCCGACGAGCTGCGATTGGCCAACGAGCTACAACGAGCTGCGATCTGTGATCGACATCCACCGTCGCACCCACCGTCGCTCGCACCGCCACCGTCGCACCCACCGTCGACGAGCTGCGATCGACATCCAGGACTGGAGGGGGCCATCTCTCTCTTCCTCTCTTCCCCTCTTCTTCTCTCTTTCTCTCCCTCTCCCTCTTCTGCATTTCAGAGTCGAAAATGGAAGGGAAAAAAAAACAAAGAAAAAGAAAATGCCCGAAACGACATCGTTTTGGGCATTAGGGGGATTCGGGGGGAAAAGTTTCGGGGGAAAAATCATTTCTCATTATTTATTATAGATACAAAAATAAAAGAAAAAATTGTGCTAGAATATTTTAGTTAAAATTAATGAGATGTTTGGTTATATTTCATGCATGGTGGTATTTAAATTTAATTATGTATGACTTATTTTTTTTAATTATGAACTTATGACTAAAAAATTATGCAATTATGTAATTTTTTTTCTTTTGAAATGAATAATTTTATATATATGAAAATGAAACTTTCAATATTATAATCATTAAATTAATTATGTAACATTTAATGAATGAATAATTTTTATTTCAAAATAAAATAAAATATTACAAAAATTTATATCATTAAATAAAATAGATGTAGATTATTAATGATGGTAGAGTAATTTCATCACTATAAGTCAAGTAGATCCCAACTAGGTTGGCACCTACTAACCTACCAATCATTTGCATTATACTCCACCTCAATAATCTAATACACAAAAATAATGACATGAAGTAGTGAAAAACAAATTATTGATCAATCATTAGAGGAGACAGATAATTCAGTCACGTTGCTCGAGGATATGTCATCCAAATCATTTTGAATTCTCTCATTTTCACTATAATTTTGTCTTCTCGTAAGCGCATGTATATGATCTCTGAATATCATCAGTGCCTCAACCATTTGGGGTAAAAGCCTACTGCGATAATTATTCAGCACCCGTCCATCTACATTAAAAACTGTTTCTGAGGCAACTGCAGAAATAGGAACGGTTAGTATCACGAGCCATCTGTGAAACCACAGGCCACATAGTTTTATTTTGTTTTCACCAATCCAAAATGTCAAAATTTTTGAAATCATCCACTAATGGACTTTCTAAATAAAGTTGTAGTTCATAACTACTTACGCTTGTATGTTCAAATATTCTTCTACTTTTTATTGCTGAAAAAATATTTAATCTCTCGCCTCGAGATGAGACTGCTAGTGTAGTGTGTATATGTGTATTTGCAGATGCAGGTGCCCTGTATTCTTGAAATAATGTTTTGCATATTTGCATAATAGAGGCAAAGTGTTTTTGATCAGCGAAAATATGTTTTAAAAATTCTTGTAAATTATTTTTTTTACATCTAAGATCAGTTATTATGGCTAAACCTAAAAGATAAGACAATGGATCAAAATATTTATCAAATTTTGGCTTTCATTGAATTAATAGTAGTTACATAATATTCATTACCTATATGTTTTACAAAAATTTAATTATTTTTGCTAACATATATAAAACAATGGTGAAGCAGGAATATATATATAAGAAAATAATTTTTGTTGAAGTATCAAAAACTTTTAAAAAAATCTTTATATAAAGCTACTTGGTGCCAATTAAGTTTTGTGGGACTCAGTACTCCTATTATTGATGATGTTGTAAAAAATAAATCGGGTACCAAAAGTTTGTTAAAAAGAAACAAAATAGTTATTTGGGCTTTTTTTTATTACAAGAGTCCAACCAAAAATGCTGATAAAGAAAAGAAAAAAAAAAAAGAAAACTGTGTGATTTATCCCCCATCTTATTTCTGCTAAATCTCATCACCTGAAAGGGGTAACAGCTATAAGCACATAGCAGAGTGACAAATATTATACTGCGAGTATAAGGGTACAAAATAGCCATGGATAGTTATTTAAGCTAAAACATTAACATAATTTAAGTAGACTAAACAAATTAATTTAGTGGTAGAAACTAAAATATAGAAATTACGTAAATAACTATAACCACGGTATAGAACAGAACAGAACAGAACAAGGGCCACTAGAGTGACAATCAGAACAGGGGTCATTGGATCTATGACAAATAGAGGACCACAAAGTGGCCAAATAAGGGCCAAGGGTTATTTAAATCCCCCAACGCATGGAACTCCCGTGGTGGTACTTATAGAAAATAATTATTTACAAAATCATTGTCAAATAATTATTAAAAGCTAAACAGACATATCCATGGGTTTCAATTTAAGTAAATAGAGTTCAGAAAATAATCTACGTAATTGAAACATTAACGTAACCATAAAACATAAATTATATAAAATAAATTGTGGTAACTCAAAACATTCGTAAAATATATTATGGTAACTCAAGACATATTTAAAACATGATATGGTAGCTCAAGGTATAATATAATTCACCCATATAAATTACTCTTATTATCACTGTTCTCCCAAACCTTACTTGCTACGCTCCTTCTCCTTTACTTCGTTTTGGTGCTTCATTATCGACTTCACCTCATTATTTATACCCACCCAATGTGTGAAGCCCAAGCAAAGGACATCACACGTAGAACACACGTGATAGATTCTCACCCCTTGCCCTCTCCCTTAATTTACCTCTTGGTTTGCCCACTGATTTACTTCTTGGTTTGACCCTTGTCTTTTACCAAGAGTCACTTAGGTCTTGTGTAAGGGTTATTATCCTCTTTGGTAATTCACAATGATCCCTAAAATTACGTATGATTATAAATTAGGTTCACGTCTAAAAATCTCATTACCAAACTATAAAACATCACTTACTGTTGACTAAAATATTTAATATTTAAAATGCGATGTTCCCACGTTACATCGGGCCATTCGAGATACTAGAAAGGATTGGTCCTGTGGCATATTGCCTTGCACTTCCACCCAAATTATCCAACGTCCACAATGTGTTTCACGTTTCGATGCTTCGACGGTATCTTCAAGATCCAAAGCATGTTGTCGACTATGAGAACCTAAAAGTTCAAGAAGACCTCTCTTATGAAGAACAACCTATACAGATTCTTGATCGCCGTGTTCAGGTCCTTCGAAACAAGACAATACCTCTCGTAAGAGTCTTATGGAGAAACTATTGTGTCGAAGAAGCAACATAGGAAACTGAAAGCCAAATGCGAGCCAAATAGCCACACCACTTCGAAAACAACGGTACGTCAAGTTTGTAGGACTGGTAAGCTTCGAACAATCTCTCAACAAGTGGCCAACTTGGCCACGTCTAAAGCATGCTCCCATCTCTCGATGACATTGTCCCCAATGAATCCTTCCACAAGTAGAACAAGTTAGAATGGTGCCACCTCTGGGATTTGTCGGACCTTGATTGCTTGAACTAATTGAACTAGTTGTGCCGTATTTACCCTCTTGGGAGGCGCGACACCGGGTCTTCTGTTATCTCTTTCCCAAAATTGCTTCCTTTGGCTTGGTTTCCTGGAGCGCAAGCCTTTAATCCCCTTTTCCGCAATGTATGTTCGATCCACCACCTCTGCATAGGTTGGTAGTTTCAAAACCTCCACCATGTCCTTGATTTCAGCATCCAATCCTACTTCGAATTTCCTGGCTTTTCGAGATTTGGTGGGGATGACATATGTCGCAAATCGAGCTAGTTGTATGAACTTGCTCTCGTATTCAGCCACCGCCATGGTTTCTTGCCTTAGATGTATGAATTCGGCCGTCTTTTGTTCCCCCAGCGAATCTGGGAAGCATTTTGCATAGAATACTTCCAAGAATCTTACCCAAGTAACAATATCTTCTTTCTCCAAGATAAAAAGCCACCATTCTTGTGCATCGTCTTTAAAGGTGAATGTGGCAAAGGCTACCTTCTGTCTCTCTGTGCAAGGTAGCGCGCGGAAGATTTTCTCCATGTCCCTAACCCAAGCTTCCGCCACTAGTGGGTTTGGACCACCAATAAACGTGGTGGGTTTCAGATCCTAAAATTGTTTAATCGTAGTTGGTTCTTCTCGTCTCTTTGGTGGCCCATTGGTTATGTTGGTTTGCAAGGCCTGCAAAAAGTTGGTGACTGTTCTTTCCAGGATTTGCTCCATTGGGATGGTACTGCTAACTGATGATCCGATTTCATTTCCATCGTTGGCCATTACTACAACGTAAAATGATATAAGCGTGACATCACATTGATACAACGTCATATATAACGTATTAGTTCTACTAGTTTAATATTACCACATTAACACCACATAAA